TCAGGAACAACAAAGAAAAAGAGCAGACATCCTATGTATAACGTAAGAGAGATGGTTTAGGTTCCATTTATTTAAATATTAACAATACTTTGATTCTGTAAATGTTTTTATACTTGCTGCCTTTGGAATTCGTATAGAAAATACAGAATAATATGAAGCCTCCTTAAATTATTACTATTTGCAGTAAAGAAATCAATAAAGATACCTTTAATTAAACATCTGCTTCTTGTGCTGATTATCAATACATTAATATAGGCAAGTACATCAATCCATGTATAAATAAATAATTTTAATGTAACTATACTATTTAGAACACAATCTAATATCAGTGCATCAATGGAATAGGCTATGTCAACATATTTTGCATCGTAGTACAATGGCTAAATAAATTGTATAGCTATTTTGTATCAAAATATTTAGATAGGTAGCATTATTTCATAAACTAACTATTCAGGAATTCACACTTTTGTGTACCATCTGTGCTTGTTTTCTCTACATATGTTGGGAACATTGGAGGAAAAACAAAGGCTAGAGGACATTGGCCAAAAAGTGTGACAGTCACCAAGTAATCTGGGAAACTTGGGAGGTATGCCTGATTAACCAAGTTCTCAGTGTGAGATTCATTAAAAAAAAAAAAAAAAACACTCTGACAAAAGAAAAGCACAAATGTTACCCTGGGTACTGTACTAACATGCCAAGCATTCTCTAAATTAATGAAAGAGTGAGTCAGTCATCCAATGAATAGCTTCATACAATCTTCCAGTTCAGTGCATCCAATGAATGTTGTTAGAATGGCATATCCATAAAAAAGACAAATATAGAAAACTGTTCCACTGTATCCACTGTTCATTGAATGACTGATTTTCATGCTGAGTTGAAGATCCCTGCATAGAGTATATAGGAATTTTACAATAGAGAACTTGTCAGTTAAAGTGCCCATAGCATCTTTTGTATTATCCTTATTAGGGAAGTATTTCAGGGAAGGTTTTTTTTGTTAGCATAATGTCACACTGAGATTATAGTGATTCATGCTGTGAAATGTGTTCTTTAGAGAAAAATCAATTCATAATAGGTACTCTTCAATAACAAATTAAACCATCTATTCTGATATGGTTTAATATTTCATTGTCATTATTTTATTCAAGAGTACATTTGGCAAATTTAGCTTACTTTATCTTTTCCTTTGCTAGTTTACAGTCTCAGGGCATACCGTCCCTCTTTATCACATGAATGCTGACCCAACCAGTCCCCGACCAAAACCCGTTGCCCCCCAATAATACACGTGATACCTCATTCTTGTGGATAAGGGCAACAGCCACAGCTTTATTTAATATAACAATTTTTTATTTTTTATTTTGTCATTCAATTTGCTTTTATTGACATCATAACATTTGGCAATACAAAGTTATATGCATCGATACAGAAGGTGGCAAAAATAGTGTACATGTCAGTTATTGTTCATTTGGTATAAAGGTATCGTTAGTATTTATGTGAAGAGAGCAATTTTACAAAGCAATAGCAAGCATCTGATTCCATTCCTACATTGCAACATCTTTCAGCATTGACAGTTTTCAAGAAGGAACTAGTCTTAGAAAAATAGAAAGAGAATATTTTCACCATTCTCACAAGTTTTAGACATGAAAGCTATAGAGAACACTCAGATTCAGTCATTTTATTAATTGGTATGTTTGTGTTGGGAAGCAGATAAACTGCGATAAGGCAGAAACTTTAGTGCTCCTGCTGTGACCTTGTCTAGCCCTGCTTCCTGAGAGCGTCTCTACTGATCCGTTGGGGTGGGGGGTAGGGAGTGGTTGTCGAGTAGTGGGGCGTTTGGGGGTCAAGGGTCCGTCAGGTAGTTTTTGTCCTGTGTGCGCGTTTGTTGTGGGTGTCCCCTTTGCGCTAGTCGCTGTTCTTTGATGTGTGTGGGCGGTGGCTGTGTGTGTGTCATGCGTCGGGGTGTAGTCTTGTTGGGGTGTCCCTTCTGTGTTGGTGTCCTTCTGTGTCTGTTTGGGGATCCTATTAGTGTCGGGGGTGTATTGGTCGAGCGGGTGCTGTCCCGGGTTGTGAGGGTTAGGTGGGTTCTGGTATCGTGGTGTAGTGCACTTGGTTATTGGGCGTTTAGACAGTCTTGTTGGGTTGGTTCATCCCTTGTCCGATATGTGTTGGTCATGGTGGGTCTTTGTGGGTGCTGTGGTGTATGGTCTGTCCTGTAAGGGAGGTGGCGTTTCTGCGAGTGTAGGTGGCATTCTCAAGGCAGCCTGTCGGCAGTTGGTCATGTATTTTAACGTGTGTTGTGGGGGGCGGGTGGGATGGGAGTGTAGGTTAATGGGGTGAGGGCATTGCGGGTGAGGGTAAGGTGCGGGAGGGTAGGGGGTGGGGTGTCAGGTCCCGGGTCCCCACCTCAACCCCCCCCGCCTCCGGGGCAAGGGGCATCTCCGGCTCTGAGTGGTCGTCTTGGTTTGGTTGGGTCGGTGGTTCAGCTTCCGTATTGTCGTCCGTCTGGACCGTCCCATCTGCCTCTGCTGTCAGGTGTTGTGTGGTCCCCGTAATTGGTGCGGTGGAGGCGAGCCATTGGAGCCAGTGGTACCACGCATCATGGTAACGTTGTATGCGTCCCGTTGCGGAGTGGATGAGTTCCTCGATGCGTCTGATGTCTTCCACTCTCGTTATCCATTCTCTGATAGTCGGGGCCATGTGTTGTTTCCAGTGTCTCGGGATGAGGCTGCGGGCTGCGTTTATTAGGTGTGGGAGTGCTGTTTTTTTAAATTTGTTGATTGGGGTCTGTGTAAGTTGGAGCAGGTATGTGTCTGGTGAGAGGGGTAGGTTTGCTTCTGTTATGATTGTGAGTATCTTGTGGATCTCTGCCCAAAAGGGCTGGATAAGGGGGCAGGACCACCATATGTGGAAGAGGGATCCCAGTTCTTTCCCGCATCTCCAGCATTCCGGGTCATTTGTGGTTTTCATCATGCTAAGTTTTTCCGGTGTCCTGTACCAGTGGGAGAGCATTTTATATCCTGTTTCTTGGAATTTGGTGGAGACGGAGGCTTTATGTGTGAGTGTAAATACCGTTGTCCATTGTTCCGTTGAAATTGAGTGTCCTAGATCCCTTTCCCAGTATTTTGTGAAGTAAGGGAGGGGTGCATTAGTGGTGGTGGTGGTTTGCATGCGATATAGTAGCGATATCGCGTGTGGGGGGGGGGGGTTCATGCATATGGTCTCGAATACAGAGAGTGTTCGCGTTGCCGAATTTAGGGTCGGTATGCTTCTCAGAAACCTTGTCAGTTGGTGATATCTAAAGCGTAGGAGCATATTGTGTGGGGTATTCGGGACCAGAGTGGTCAGGGGCGTGATTGTGCCTTGGTCATAGACGTCCTTCACTCTGCAGGGGGTCGGCAGGCCCAGGGCAGCCGTGTAGTGGGGGTCCGATGCAGGGGCAAATTTCGGGTTGTGAGATATGGGGCATAATGGTGAGAGCTCCGGGGCTACGTCTGTGTGAGTCGCCAGTCTCCTCCAAACTGCCATTGTAGCGTTTAGGGTTGGGTGGTTCCGTGGCAGTTCCCTGGCCATGGATTTCGGTAGCCAGGGTAGAAGTGTCAGGGGTATCCGTGAGAAGCTGGCCTCTATGGGGATCCATAGCTTGTCTTTCGGGTCTTGTGTCCATTCTATCACTCGCTGGAGGTGTATAGCATGTCTATATTTTGTGATATCGGGTAGTCCCAGGCCTCCCTGTAGTTTGGGTCTGGTGAGGGTGGCGAAATTCAGCCTCGGCGTTTTGCGGGCCCAGACGTAGGCCATCAGTGTTTTACGGGTTTGTGTTAGGAAGGTTTTGGGAATGTGGATTGGTAGGGTTTGTAGGAGATACAAGATTCGGGGGAGGATATTCATTTTGAGGACACTGATCCTACCCAGCCACGTTATGTGCGGGAGTTGCCACGAGTCGAGGTCCTTCTGTATGCGGTCGAGGAGGGGTGGGAAGTTGATGCGGTAGGTGTCCGACACATCAGCCGACAGCCAGATCCCTAAGTATTTAATCCTTTCTTTGCACCAGTGAAAAGGGAACTCTGTTTGCAGTGTAGTTGTTAGTGCTAGGGGGCAGTTTACGTTGAGAATTTCAGATTTCGTAAAGTTAATTTTCAAGTTGGAGAGGGTGCCATATAGGTCAAATTGGTGCGTGAGCTCCCTAAGTGAGGTTGCCGGGTTGGTGATTGTGAAGAGGAGGTCATCCGCGTATGCAGAGACCTTGGTGGCTCCCCAGCTACCCTCGATTCCAGTTATGCGGGGTTGGGCTCGAACTGCATTGAGGAATGGTTCTAAGCTGATGGCAAAGAGTAGGGGCGATAGGGGACACCCTTGTCTAGTGCCGTTTCTGATCTCAAATGGGTCGGAGAGAATCCCATTAACCTGCACCCGGGCTGCTGGAGCGGTGTATAGGGCCCAAATGCGCGTCATCATGTGGGGTCCCAGTCCCAGGTGTTCCAGGGTGGACCTCAGGAAAGACCAGTCTACCCTGTCGAACGCCTTCTCCGCGTCGGTCGAGACTATCAGGGCGGGGGAGTGTCCTTCTCGGGCCGCGTGGAGAAGATTGAGTGTCTTGATAGTGTTGTCCCTGGCCTCCCGGCCCTCCACAAAGCCCACCTGATCAGGGTGGATAAGGCTCGGCATCAGGGGCTGGAGGCGCAGGGATAGTATTTTGGCAAACAGTTTGAGGTCGGCGTTCAACAGGGAGATCGGCCTGTAACTGGTACATGAGGAGGGGTCTTTTCCTTCTTTCGGGAGTACTACGACGTGTGCTAGGAGCATGTTGGGGTCTAAGGGGTCTCCGTTATGTATTGAGTTGAATAGTGTAAGTAGGTGTGGGACAAGGTTGTCTGCGAACATTTTGTAGTACTTTGCCGTGTATCCATCTGGTCCGGGGCTTTTCCCCAGTTTGGCCAGTTTGATGGCTAGGCGTATCTCCGCTTCAGTGATATCTTCTTCTAGTGTAGCTATTTCTTGGGGTGTCAGCGTTGTGGTGATATTCTGTTCGATATATGTTTTTTGCCACGCTGTGTGAGCCTCTTCTCCTTCGTGTGCGCGTGTGGTGTTGGGAGGTAGGCAGTATAGGGAGGAGTAGTATTGTCTGAAGCCCTCTGCTATAGCCTTCGGGGTCCGCAGTGTGTTTCCTGCCAGGGAGATCTTTTGAACATGGGTTTTCTGTCTCCGGGCTCTCAGCGCCCTAGCGAGCAGTTTACCACTTTTGTTTCCGTATTCATAAAACGTTTTTTGTGTGAGTTGGAACTGGAATCGTATTTTGGACGTGAGGCAGGAGTTGAGTTTCGCTCTGGTCTCTAGGAGTTGTTTGTAGGTTTCGTCTCGGAGGTCTTGTTTGTGAAGCGTTTCTAGACGCGCCAGTTGGGCAGCAAGGCGTGCTATTTCCTGTGTGCGTTGTTTTTTTCAGGCGAGTGCCGTGTTTGATGAGGATCCCTCGGATAGTGCATTTGTGTGCTTCCCAGACGGTCGTTGGTGCGCTTTCTGTTGTTTGATTGGTGGGGAAGAAGTGGTCTAGTGTGTTCCTAATTTCTGTTTGGATCAGTGGGTCCTCTAAGAGTGATTCATTAAGTTTCCATGTCCATTGGGATCGAAAGGTTCTAGGATTGTCGATGGTGAGTGTTACTGGTGCGTGGTCCGACCAGGTCATGGGGGCGATGTGGGCTGAACACAGTGTGTCTAGATCCCTGTGTTGGATGAAGAAGTAGTCAATCCTCGAGTATGATTTATGTGGCGCTGAATAATAGGTGTAGTCTTTCTCTGTATGGTGTAGGATTCGCCAGCAGTCTACAAGTTGGTGAGTTGTCAAAAGGGTCCGCAGTCCTCTGAGGACGTGGTCCGGGATCGTGGAGCCCCCTTTAGATGTGTCCATTTTGGGGTCTAGAGGGGCGTTGAGGTCCCCTCCTATTATTACGGTTCCTGCACTGAACGCTTCCAATTTTCTCAGGGCTGAGGCTAGGAATGATTTTTGGCCTTTGTTTGGGAGGTAGAGGTTCGCGAGTGTGATTTGAGCGTCCCCTATGTGTCCTTTGAGAAAAAGGTATCTGCCTTCTCGGTCTTTCTCTTCTGCTTCCAGGCGGAACTGGGTGTCTGCCGAGAATAATATAGCCACTCCCTTGGATTTGGTGGAGGGGTTATGCGCGTAGTAGCCGGTTGGGAAGTATTTATCTGAGAATTTGGGGGCTTTTGTTGCTAGAAAGTGTGTTTCTTGGAAGAAAGCTATTGATATCTTAAGTGCTCGAATTTCTCGCAGCGCTCTTGCTCGTTTTTGTGGGGAGTTCAGGCCCTTCACGTTGATTGTGTAGAGGTTAATTCCTATCTCTGCGTGCCCGGGGGTGTGGGGGGCGAGAGGCGGTGGGCCCATCGTATCCAGGTGGCGGGGTGTGGAGTAGGGGAGGAAAAGGGGGGGGGAGATGGAAGGGGAGGTTAGATGGGTTTGAGGGGGTAGTTCAAGCGGTGTGGTGTGTAGCGGTTGTGTCGAGTCGCAGAGGCGACTGTTGTAAGGGGTAATGTGCCACTGGTAGGTGTGTGTCCGGGAACCAAGGTCCTCGTAGTCACCTCACAGTCTCTTGGCAGTGAACCAGTGGGGCAGGTGGCGTCGGTGGTTAGGTAGGTCACCTACTTTGGGGTGTCGTCTAGTGACGTATCACTGTCTGTCAGCATCCGTCTCCTGCTGCCTAATAGTGGTGGTGTCTGGCATCCAGAGGGGTAGTACCGTTCTAGCGGATCAGTTAACAACAATGTGGATGGTCGTGATGGTCGCCCCTGGGCGTTATCTTGTTATCGTTGCGCTATTGTGTCGGGAGCGTGCATACGGATATAAGAACAGTATTCGTGAGAACAACATAATAACAGCATATCAAAACATGGTTACACAAATTATATCCCAGTATCAGGGAGAACATCAGAAACTTTTATGAACATTTAAAGATGGTTTGGGTGTGTTCGCACAGCACAGGGGGCCCCTCATGGAATAGAATGAGGTTTGCACCCCGTGGTGCGCCGTCACCCCACACCTTTTATATAACAGGGTAGGAGGAGGAGGGCAAAAAGTAAGGGGGGGAGGGGGGGAAGGGGTTCAGGAAAACAAAAACACACCCCCAACAATACACTCAATACACTTTGTTGGAACCAGTGAGCGCAGGTGTCTCCGTCGCCCGGTGGGAACCTCTCGGTTGTTCACAGGGGGCGAGGCAGAGTCGCTCTCAACAGTAATTCGGATGTACACAATTATGAGTCTGCTTGAGGAACACGGAGCATTCATCTTACGGTATGTAGTGGTTGGTGAGTGATGCGTTCCCCCCTTCTAGCGTGTTCGTGGTGTCTGAGGTGTGTTTCTGTTGGACGTCTCAGAGGTGCGTTTGATACCTGGTTGCCTGTGTTGCAGGTATGGTCTGTGTGTATGTCTGCGGTTTGATTAGATAGTGAGGGTATCTGGGTGCATCTTGGGTGTATTTGGGGGGGTTCCATTCCTGGTGTAGCGGATGTGTGTGTGTATGTGTGTGTGTGGGTGAGTGTTAGTGTCAAGGTGTGTAAGCTAGCCCGCAAGGTATACTTGCACTTGCGATTCGTTCTACGGTGGTGGAAGCCGTGGCCAGCAGTCCAGGGTGATGCCAGGGTGTCAGTTCAAGGCATCATGTCAGTGGTCGTCTCTATAGGGTGTTTGGAGCTTGGCGGGTGTGGGTCTATGTCCCGCATTGTGGGGCAAAGGAGTCTTGTGTGGAGCCGGCCAAGATATTGGTGCACTGGCGAGTCCTCTGGAGTTGTCTCTGTTGAGTTAGTAGCGTTCTTGGTGGTGTTGAGCAAGTCATGGACTCGGGGGGCAATAGATGTAGGCCCAGTTAGCCGGTGAAGCAAGGTGGTTCTAGGCCTTTGGGACGGTGAGATGTGGGTGGGTTACCGTTTTTGGTGGTGTCTTGGCGGCGGTGAGTCGCAATCTGCTTTCTCCCTTTGCTTTCCTGGATGCGGAGTGATAGAGAAAGAGAGAAAAAAATAAATAAATAAATTTAAAAAAAAGGAAAAAAGGGGGGGGAGTAGGTGTCTCTGGAGGTGCCGTATCCCTCCTGCTCCCCTCAGCGTGGTCGTTAATGCGTTGCACGGTCGTGGTCAGGCTGGTGGTGCAGGGTGGGTGGCGGGGGGGGGGTGTAGGCAGGTGGTGGTGTCCATCTCGTTATTCCTCAGGGTCAATTAGTCGGTGATGGGTGCGCGGGGTGTCCCTGTCGGGCCCCTGGTGGATGGTACGTTGTGTTGGCCTCCCTGTGAGGCGTTCATTAAGCGGGCATGCAGTCCAGTCCGAAATAGGGGTGCGAGGGAGGTTTAGAGCCTCCTGGAAGGCCAGTACATCTTGCGGCGTGCGAATTACTGCTTCTGTGGTGCCCTGTCTGGCTGAGAGGGCGAAAGGAAATTGCCATCTGTAGCGGATTTGGGCGTCTTGCAGGGCGGCGGTGAGGGGCCGCAAGGCTCTTCGGGCCTGTAGGGTGAGGTGGGATAGGTCATTGTAAAGTTCTATCGCCTGTCCCTCTATTCTCCAGGTTCTTTCTGTGCGTGCTTTTCTCATAATTTCTTCCTTTAGTTGGAAGTCTGGTATGTGGCAAATTAAGTCCCTGGGGGGAGCACCCGGGGGGGGCTTGGATCTTAGTGCCCTGTGTGCCCTGTCCATGTGGATGCGGGCGTCCCTGGGTCTGCCCAGTATGCGATTAAAAATCGGGGTCAGCGTGGCCCTGGCGTCTTCTGTTGTGTCAGATTCTCTGCAGCCTCTTACCCTGATGTTATGCCTGCGGCTGCGGTTATCAAGGTCCTCTATGTGGAGGCGCAGATCTTGTATGCGCCTGGAGTGGGCCTCTGTAGCTTGTATAGCAGGGCAGTGTGGGTTGGGGCCCTGTGTCTCTAGTGCCTGTACCCTTGTCTCAAGCGCTGTGAGTGAGGTGCCTAGGGCTGAGATCTCTGTGCGCAGGGTGGCTTTTACCTCATCCAGTAGTGTCTGGAAGTCCTCCTTTTTCGGCAGGGACGTGAACAGTGTGTACCAGTCTGGTGTCTGTGGGGCTTGCCGGCTGCTGTCAGTGCGCGGGTATTCCTCCGACAGCATGGAGCTCGGGGAGGAGGGCGCCATGTTGGAGGCCTCCTCCTGGGAGAGGAAATCCCCTGGTGTGTGGAGGTAGCTGCGGATGGAGGGGTGCGAGCCGGTCCCCTGTGTTCTCGGCGTGGAGGGGGTCATCTGGGCTCTCTTGGTACGTCCCATGGGTGCCAGGTCGTGCTAGTGCGGTGTGTTTTTTGCGGCTGGGAGCGGAGCTCGGGAATTAGGCGGCCATTCCTGTTCGGCGCCAAGCCACGCCCTAATAATAATATAACAATTTAAACTCAGTCCAACTCTGCCAGCTGTTGGGTGTTTCCAAACAGGCAGTTCTCCCAAATTCTGTGCCATGAGCTCCGTGCAGGCTGTCGTCTCCCCAAAGTTCCTTTTTTCTTCTGCGCTGTCCAGGGAAACCCGCCACCACGATGCCCACCTTGCGCACTACGCTGCGCGGGCATCGCACCCCCCTGCCGACAGCGCCGCATCAATTCCAGCTTGCAGTCCCGTATTGAAGATATCTAATGGGGGACAAATGAACACCATCCGTCTCATTACATCATCATTAACCCCTTCCAACTCGAAGTACCTAACGACTATACCCCCCAGGTAGCGCACAAAACGGGACATGGTCATATTGACCTTACGCCTATAGCGCTCTAACGCCTTACCATGACCCCCGGTCCACCAGACCGGGGCGGAACAATCTCGGACCAGACAAGGGTCAGGTCCCGGAACAACGCAAAACAGCGGGCCACGTCATGCCACATCGCATGAACCAGGTCCACTGACCGTCGCCGTCCGACATCGTTCCCGCTCGCGTAAACCACCAAGGTCAACGGCCCTGACACGCAGCTCCGGAGCTGCACCAGCTCGGCGTATAACCCGTCCCATGACAATCCCTGAATCCCCCTCCAACGTACCCATGCTACCTCGTACGATAAACCTAGGTTACGGCCATAGGGTCTAGTCTCAGCACGCCTAGCAGCCCAATAAACAAAGTAGTGTCCCAGGATCCTGACAAATCGAGGAGAAGGACCTACAACGAAAATAACATATAACCATAACTGCTGCGCCGCTAGCCCACAGCAAATGGGGGTGCATGTAGAGCTGGAACCGACCCGACTGCCAGCGCCCCAAATGCTTGAGCGCCTCTGTGGGGAGGCCCAGCTGACTAGCCTGCGTGGCAGCCCCGATTCGAAATGAGTGCGTGGTGTACAAACCTGGAGACAGCCCAATACTGACAACCCCTGCACGAAGTACCCTGGCGAATTGAAACCGGCTGAGTGATGACGAATCCCGGTGCCGCAACAGGGGCCCTGCCTTCGATCCTCGTACCTCCAAGAACTCCCGCAGCAACCTAACCGGGCAAAATCGCTCACCGGTAGCCTGAATCCGAACCGACGCGCCCTCTCCTGACTTATCGGTCTTAGACTTTCGAATCAGCAACGTCACGTCACCCTTTGAAACCCTGATATCAGAGATTTGCATGGCAGCCAGCACCCGTGTACTTGGAGCCACCAGCTCGCCTATCCGAAGGGCCACAAAGAAGCAGAGAGCAAAAGCGGCCAGGAACAGGAGAACCTCGTAGACTGAGACACAAATCTGGGGCAGATGCTCCAGGAGTCTGCACAAGATCTCATAGAAGATTGGACGCCGAGAGTCTGGCTTACGGTCCTTCTTCCAGCCCTTCATGACCCGGAAGATGCATAATTACTTGGTAGCATCCTGCCACCCACACCACTGGAACAGAAAAGACAGGGCTGCTAACGACCTCTCTGCCACTGCTGCCGACTTACCCTCCTCGCAGAGTAACTCCAAGAATGCCAGAGTCGCTGCCAACCTACCTTCATCCGAGGACGCATCTCTGTCATTGCAGACATTGTAACGGACCGTTTTGCACACAAGGGGTAAAAACCGTTTAGGCGATCGGCCCCCTTTCCAGAGATACAGGCACAGCTACTGCAGAACACCAAACTCCCAAACTGGATACAAAATAGCACTCAAACTCCCGAACTGGAACCTCCCAAATAGCTGCTAGCAGACGAACAGGAAAAGCAGACAATCAGCTTACACTCCTGGCAATCAGTCTCTAACAGCATACCGTGAATCCCCCCAAGAACGAGACAAGGCTCTGTGTTGAGGGTCAAGCAGTGGTCTGTTTAATGAGGGCTACCTGCCCAGTATTTATGCAGGTCTCCCACCTGGTGGACACTCCCCTAGGGGACCAAATGGGAGACTGTGACAAGGGACAGACAAGTGGACAAATAGGACACACAGTCACAGTATATTCCCACAATGCATCCTGGCTTCCTCCCCTCTGCCCTGGGAGATAATTGGGAAGTAACTCAATTATCTCCCAAGACAAAGGCAAAACTCCATTACACACGTGGGGACACAAAACCAGCATTATACTTTAAAATACACAAAGTAACATTTACTACATAAAACACAGACATGTAACATATCCCCAGATAGCTCAGGTCTGAGTGCACATTATTAGGTGAATGGCACTCAGACCACACGAATACAGTTTAATCGCCATGGAGCCAAAGTCTTTACACAGTCAGTTTCATACGAATGGGCTCCATGGGATTCCTATCTGGGGTATAAGACATTCAAACAAAAATACCGAACACCGGGCCGTTCGTGCACTTTCACCGAACAAGAAGGGAGGTCGGCGGCTTCAGCGGTGTTCGCGCAAAACTGTGTCCGATTTTAGTTCCATGAAAATAGAGGCGAACACCGCTGTTCATTCGTATGGTTTAAAATGGCCGCGACCTCGTGTTCGGGATACGAATGGCGGCCACCCAGCATTCATCAATTAAGCTGCGGTTAACCACAGCTTCAGGGAGGTTAATTGCCGGCACACTCCAGCTCCCAGGTGGTCCAGTCATTCGTACGGTTGTTCGGTAGATTGAAACTACCGAACAACCGGCAGAAAAGCACGAATACAGCTTTTCTGCAGGCAAAAATAAAGTCTTTTAAAAGGGGGCCATAGTCCAAAGGCAGCAGGCGAGCAACCAGGCTTCTCCAATGCAATGTGGCGAGATTGGTCTCGTCACAGACATTTTTCCATTTCCGCCACACCACAGCATACGACCTCCACGTCAACTCCAATAGCGACTCCCTCACCAAATGGTGGAAACCAGGTTCCATATGCCCACCGGGCACGAGGTTCCAGTCCGCGCCGCCTC